CTGTTCAGACTGTCCCACTGGAATGATTATGTGGCCCTTTGACAATTTATTTCTTTTAACCATTCAATCTGTGGATGCATGCTACCTTTGGTTTGGAAATAGGGAACTATCCACTTAAACACATGCTGACACCTTCAGTTCGTTTGGCATGCCCTACCCTGAAGAAACCAGTCACTATTGAATGAGATTAGTTTTTGTAACTTATCACTTGTCATCTAAATTTGTTTTAAACTAATGTCCTTCAGTAATGAAGTCTGGTTGCTTCTATTGCAAAGGAAACCAAAGAAAAACTAGTTCTTCCACATTATATTAATTAACATCCCTGTCAACAATATTAAACTGAAAAAAAAATCAGAAATGGATAAAGAAAAGCACAGATTTTACTTGACAAACGCTGCACCTCAGTTAGCTTGATGTGGTGATGAGACACAGTGATGCTGAGTGACAACATGTATCTTACCCTTATCAACCCATGAGGAACATTTTCATCACATCAGTGATGAAAATATTTATTTGGTTATTTAAGTATGTATTTGAGGCTACGCTTGTGTGGGCTTGACAAAAGAAAACCCCTGTAACTCTCTTAATTTCTCCCTGAATAAGTGCCCCATGAGTTGGCATGCTGATGAGTGACACTGGATGCAGGAATCAATACCCCTGTGGAGAGCATGAGGCATCTCTGACATGCACGCACACTTACAGCTACCCTGCCATCCTCTTAGTGGTTTCAATGGCATCACTGCTAAAGTGAAGATCAGGGACACTCAGTTCAACCCAGACTCTGATACTTCTCTTTACCTTATGAATGTCACAGCCTTTCCTGAATTGCCTCCCTGTCTCCTCCTCTCCTGCAGCAGCAGCATTTGGAGAGGAGGTTCCATAGCACAGACAGGCAGGCAGCTTATAGGGACATTTTGCAATCTGAACACACAAAATATCCTTCCTACATTTGGAAAGGGTAGAGTTACTTGTGATCCAGTCCCAAGGGAGGCAAAGCAACAAGAATTACCTTTGATTTATGATGCTCTCAATCTAAGAGATTTGGGTCCCTAGGTACCAACAGGGACACCAAGTTCTGTCTACTTTGTTGGATTTTCTTCTGGCATGTCTTAACAGGTCTGCTCAGGAAGAGGACAATGTGCATTCTTCTCTGAAACATTTCTAACAGGTATTGCCAAGGTTTTTGTTGTCTTAAATAGCCATGTCCTCCTTTTTCAAATATAACTATACCTTGTTAAAAACAAGAAGAGAAAATGCTGGCAGAATAAAACTGTGCTTATGCTGGTTGGGCTGAAGAATCCAAAAAAACCCAAGAGATTCTCACTGAAAACAGAGTTGCTACAGCACTAGATATTGCTACATTATCAAATTCACTGATCGCTATCATCATTGCTTTGGCACCTGAGCAGAATCATGATGCCAATTCTATTTTTAAGAAATTGTAAATTATTAATGAATCTTTGCTGAGAAAACCCTTGGCAGCTCCTTCATAACTGTCAGGATTGCTTAAGGATGGTGATGTTGCATATCATGAAAAGCAGAGTGGTGAGTTCTGGATAATGACATTTTGCTGAAGGGAAAAAAAAGCCTCGAGAGAGGCTAGATAGCAAGCCTATATTTATTTTTTTTCATTCACAGCTACTATTCTGTTATCATCACAATTTTGGCTCAGTTCCTCATTCCTTAAACACCTCATTCACATGCTAAAATTGGTGGTAAATGCTTTTGTGTGCAAAAGGCCAGATTATGCAGATTATACAAAACTATGCAGCAAGGCATCTGTATCTTGGAGCCAGTTTTCATTAAGCACAGAACCAAATAAACAGAATGCCTATGTGTAGAATATGAATTTTAAAGGAATTGGGACTATGTTTATTATTGATATTCATAACATGACATTTTCAGGATACCTAATCAGGAAGTAACCTCCACTTCGGTGAATATGGTGAAAGTTCAATGGAATTTAAGCTATAATGGTGATATAAGGATGAAATTCAAGTTTGTCCTGGAGTTAAGAGTAATGGTACAGTTGGGTATCAGGCCTGTGACTATTTGCATGCCCAGTATACTTAATCATTAATGCCCAGATTGGCCCAAGAACTCCCTGGCCAGTCTCTGCTCAGATGGACTGACTGAAACAAAGTGATGGACTAAACTGCTTGGCAGCTTCACCGTAAAGCAGCAGCTGGAACAGGAATGCTGCAAGCGCCCCGCTCTGGAGATTTCCACAGGCAGCTTCTGCAGTATACAGACCAACTAAAATACACTATTTGTACACTAAATATGTGCTGATTCATTCGCTGAGTGGAGAACCTGGCATTGCCACAGACTTTCGCAAGCAGCTCCTGCTGTAGAATTAACCAAACTCTACATAGATAATTTCACATAGTCGGTAGAAATGGTTCTTCTATATGCAGAAATGGTCCTACAAGGCGCTCTTCTGTCTATCTTAAGATGATAATTAAGACCATGCATATGCTAGAGTGGCCATGTAGAAGGACCATGTGGATTATAAAAAATCAACAAAACAGTTTAAAGAGTCTCATCTGATACAGCTGAAGACACTGTTTCAGTGTTTCAACAAAGATGCTTGAAATAGAGACTCTTTCATCATCTGGAGAGTGACTGATGTCTTAGGGATATCTGACTCCAAACATTATCTTTTTTTTTTAATATATTTATTTACATATATATATATATATACACACCATATACTCTCCTTTGTATATGCGACAAGTATAAGGCAAACAATTAAATGAAATAATATTTCAATATTTTCACTTTGGTACTTTTGATAAGAAAGTGAGAAGAAGAAGAGAGAGGAAGAAGAATGAGAGGTAAAGGGAGGGGAGAAGGAGAGTGAGAAATAGGAAAAAAGAAGGGAGGAAGGAAGGAAAGAAGGAAGGAAAACAACCCAACTAACCATGTAATCTAGATTAATATTCAATACTCCTACTTGTGTGTCACTGTTGCGGTGATGTAGCTGTGGTGATTTAAGAATGTATACATTTATTAATTGTCCAATATTTAAGTAAATTGTGTCATGCAATAGATTTCTAAGTTTGCCTATGTTTAAAAATAATTGGATAATAAAAACTGAATTTTTATAAATACAAATAAAACCCATGCATATGGCTCCTGAAAGGACCCTTTAGAAAGCTGAGGGCTCAGCAGAAACCATTGCACATCTAATGAGAGTTTCTATGTATTTTAATCCTTCAAACCCTGAAAGAGAGAGAGGGAAGGAGGAACGAGGTCAAGGAGTTATGGTACCCCAGAGATGCACAAGGAGTGAGAAATATAGCAATTCCTTCTGCCTCAGTTCCTCCTTCTTGGAAAGCTATTCCATCTTTGGCTCTTTTCCATTCAATCTGCATTTGAAACTTCTTGGATTTGTAAGGAAAGAAGCATCATATAGAAGGAAGTCTTTTTGGCTCTCCAAGGATGTACCTGGACTGCAAACCAAAGTTTGATTCAGCTGGAAGATGCATAACTGAGCTTGCTTACACCAACAAGAGCTCGGATTTTGCACAGGTACAGCAGCGAGGAATTCAGCAAGGGCTATAAAACCCTGGCAGGATCCCAAGCGAATGTTCAGTCCTATGAGATCTCACGCTGAGTAGTGCATTAGTCGATAACTATACCTTGGTTTTCCATTCATCTCTTTCGAGTTATTTACCTTGGTGCATAGTATGAGGGCCACAGTTGCCAGCAGCTCCAGCTAGCAGAGGATTTGAAACAGACACGTTACGCTGCACAAGAGTAAGTGACTTCTCAGTAGGAGAAAGGGGCCTTCAGCAACATTAAATCATCAGTAATACACAGCTTTGTGGTTATAATTCCCCTTGTTTTTCAGCAAGAGTGCTACTAGGATCAAAGCATTACTCATCACCCTGCAGGGCACAACATCTCCGCTAGGCTGTTGGGACTATAAGGGCCCAGGGCAGTAAAAGCTGACAAAACTGGGGGAGTCACTGCTTCTTTCAACTCTGCTGTGTGGGTGAAAGGCTCTTAGTGCATCCTGAAATCATCAGTGGGTGTTACACTAACTCGCAAGAAAATACTCCATAATATGTACAGAAAATTGATGTAACATCCTAAATAAGAGGTAGATGCTGGAGGTGGAAATGATCGAGATTTTACTGCCAGAATCCCTGTGAAAACAATATTTAGCAATTCAAGTGAGTTCATGCCACTTTCTGCTTAATGCTTGAGGGAACACCAAAGTTGGCAGTCTGTAATTACTTCTTCACAGAATCAGAATTTGCCATATATTATTAGAATTCCTCAAGCTAGTTAAAAGAAAATCTGATTGTTTCACAACAAAAATACACAGGCTTACAACACATACCTCTGAAAGGAGACAAACAGCGTATTAAAGAGCTTTGAGTTCCTTAGTAATATAGTCTCTTTTACATATGGGAAAGAGCACAATCCCAAAAGTACAGCCGACAGGTTTTCTCCTTTGCAAGCAGTCAGACTTACACATATATTTGTGTTAGAGGAGACTAAATCTAAACTCTTGTGATAAATATCCCTGTTACTACAGAAAAAAAAGGGGATCATATTTTATTCACTACCTCTATAGACTTGTATAGTATAGCTCCAGAAGCTTTATAAAAAGAATTCAAATCTCAATTCTGTACATATTTAAAACCTACACAAGTCTTTCCAGTTTTTCTAATTCCCCCCCTGGATTTAATAGAAAATTCTCATATGGAGAGTATAAAGTTGTACAAAAAGCAACACCAAGAGAGATTACTGATATATATAATGAACCCAATAGATTCTCCATCTGTTTCTAATGTCTACATAGCTTGTAATCTTAAACTAATGTTGTGACCTTTTTCTGCACTGCTGCTTTCTATTATAACCAAATAGCAAGATTTAAAATGAGTGCTGAATCTCCAGTTGCACATAGCATATTTTTAATACTGAAAATCTTTTGCATGATTCAAGCAAAAAAAAATTATTATGTCCAGTAGAGGAATGTTGTTTACCTGAAACTGTGTGATCCTTTGGGTCTCTCAGTAGTTTCAGCCTTGCATGAGGAAAAATGTATTGCAGAGGCTTCCCATTTATCTGAGGAACACAAAACACATGTGTCACAAAAAGATAAAACATGATAAATTGCAAAATTATTTAAGAACAACAAGCAAACAAGCAAACAATAGGTTTCATCCAGGGAAATACCACAACTTCAAGATGCAGACATTCACCAAGTTTCAAGACACATTTGTCAGGCTACAAATTATTTCTGCAGAGAAACAAATATTTGCTTCCCTAAAACCAGGTCCATTTTGAATAGAGCTTTAGTTTCAGTTTTATTTCCTGGTAAATGGAAGGTGGTTACTGTCTTCTCTAGCATCTCTTAATATTAATTAATAAATTATAATAATTAATTGTACAAGGATGTACAAGAAAGGAAATAATTTATATATAACTTGTGCAACTATATAATTTTTTTTACAGTAACCTAAAAAGATGGTAGTTGAATAATATAAATAGCTATGAGCTATTGCTCTAGTTTCAGGAGAAACACCTATTCTAATGCATCTCTTTTCATCAAATTTTAAAGACCTTTTGAAAGAACTAGTCTAGAACTTTTAGGACTATATATGATATGAAAATGTGCCACATTTACTCAGGCTCATACTGGAAAATGTCCAAGATGGAAGCAGCTCCATAACAATCATTAAAAACAACAACAAAACCCCAGAGATTTTCAGCTAGGAAAATTACATCCTCCCTGTGAAATGAGCACCGAAAAAGACATGTAGCATGTATTGACCCATTTGTCAGAGATGATCATGGCATGCTAAAATACATTCATAGCTCATTACAAAACTAACAAACCTCACATAAATCACACACTCTGTCTTTTTTTCTTCTTCTTTTTTTTTTTGCCTTTCAGAAAGAAAGGAGAATCCATAACCTCTCTGCCAAGCTCGAGCTAATATACCCTGACTGACAGAAGAGAGCTTGTTTTCAAGGGACTGTGCAGCTCAGACCCATTGGGGAATTCAAGGAGCCAATGAGACAATATTAATCACCACGGATATACAGCAGGTTGAGTATATGAGCAGCCTGCTGCCAAGTGTTCATTACTAGTATTTTTACTTAAGCAGCACTTAAGGGATTAAACTCCTCCTGAACTAAGCACTTCAAACTCAGGATCTCTCTACAGAGTTTATGGATTAGCAGAGAGCAGAGAGCACAGACAATGGAAGAGGAGACAGAGAAGTCAAGTGACTTGCTTAGCTCAGTTCCAGGGTAAGCAAAGTAGCTGATATATCTTTCCTTATAAATTAGCTTCAGCATAGGATGTTGCATCTACAAAGCTGAAACCTTCTCATAACACAGTAAAATTGGTACCAGCCATAATTAAACTTAGACTGAAAAGGCACCGTGGATGTGGTAGTGAACAGAAGTGCTCCAGAACAAATCAGCACTTGCAAGCAGACAGACTTTATGAGTTAACATGGAGTTCTACCAAGATATAAGGTCTAATACTATCAAGTATATAAAGTGTCATGAGACTTTTATGCTTATAAAGGCATAAGGACATTGTCATGTTTTTAATGACACCATCAAAAAATCAATAAGTGGAAATTAATGGTAAGAATAATCTATTTTGTCACATATAACTTATACAAAATTGTAAAAAAAAATCTGCACAGGAAGAGTAATCTAATTGCATTTTGATTAAATGAATAAGCAAGAATGCAAAGCAATAAAATTCAAAGGAAACTGTATAAATATATTGGATCAAACCCTTAACTGGGATCCATTTCAGTGGAAGAAATTCAATTTAACCAAGGTAAATCACAGCTCATAAACTTCTATTCACAATTTGTTTTTATTATTCCATCTTATCTTTCTTTAGCAAGATTGATTTTTTTTGAATAAATAATAATCCAAGAATATTCAACACCATGCAGTATATAATTTGCTGACAAATATATGAGAAAATAGAGTCTACTACTTTAGTCTGTTAGTTTCTCATTGCTTTTACTTTCAGAATTTTATGATAAGTATAAATCTTGGTGATTCATAAAGTTATGAATAAAAGCACTAAGGTTTATTAGCATTCAGTGTACCATATTATTATTTTTTATTGTTAGTGGGAATCAGTATTTAAATTGAATATGACATTAGACATTTACCTTTGAAACAGTATGTGTCTGAAAATGGCAGAAGACTAAATAGGAAAGAACAATTACTGCTGTAAATACTCTGCAAGCACAGACAGTGATTTTTTGATGTTTTACTTTAAGCAATAATGAGAATATTTATCTGAAATCTACTAACATATTTGGAACAGGGAAGAACACAAATCAATCAGTGATTTCATTTGCTCGCATCTTTCTTTATCTTTCACTGAAGATGAATTCTCCTCACTTGAATATGTGCCAAGGGGTTCCTCAACCTGATTATTCTGTTACCCCATTGAAAATCCATAGGCATGTCAAAAAACCCAGCAGCATAAACCAGGACTGTAGCCCTGAAGGGGCAAAGCTTCATCTTCAAGGATGTAGGAATGGAGAACACGCCATTCCTCATGCCTAGGGTTATGTCACAAGGCTGAAGTAGCTCCAAACACAGACTTCTGAAATCCATCCTTCCATGGAAATCCTTTTGTCGTCTTTCTAGGAACACCTAATAAACTTCACTAATGACTCTTGCAGCTCAGGGCTGCCAACATCCTCTTCTGATCACACACACACACACACACACACACACACACACACCCCTTAACTCTCCAGTGCATGTCCCTATCTAACGTGCTGTTCTAGGCTCACATGGAACTCAGGTCACATTTTTTGGCACATTACTCAGCGGGCCCTTCGGGGTTTTGCATCACAGTGAGTTAAGTGAAAATTCAAGTATGAAGTGTTTCCTTCAGGCACTTAAGCTTCTGTCACATGTTTCATTTAAATAGTCAGCTTAAAGCCTCTCTGAAGAGTGGAGTGAACGGCACATACATCAGGTTTTCTCTTGTTACAGAAAAACTGTTTAAATATCATTTTTCCCCCCTTACTGTCTTGAACGTTTTTGTCTGATAAAGAAATTTCAAGGACACCATATGTAAAAGCATAAAGTACTCTATAGAGAGGACAGTCAAGAAAAGTCAGTCTCCTCAGGGCTTTAAGCACATAGACTAAAATGCACTAAATGCAATTCTGTTTTTAGCATCCCAGGCAAAGCATGTAACAAACTGGGCTTTGGATCAGAGCAGCACAGTCCCAGTAAGCCCTGCTATTAAAAGATGCTGCACCTTGCCTTCCAGCAGACTCTAACTACTGATCAGTAGTTATCACTGACTACGGTCCTTTAGGAAATAATGTCTTCAGCCAAAATGTTACTAGAAAAGGATGGATCCTTAGGAAGAAGGAGTAGAACGTATCTAGCCTAATTTCAAAATGTCACAGTTTCCCTGGCATGTGGAAGGGAGCCGTAGGGGCTAACAGAGATATCCTCTCCCTTTGAACAGCTACATTCCCTCTGTGTGGAGCAAGAAGCCCTAGAGATGCAGAGTTCTCACTACAGCTTGATCCCTGATGATGTGGATACTTTGCAAATAGAAACATCTGTGAAAAAATTAACAAGCACAGGCAATGTTCCCGTCCATCAGTACAAGTCAGAGTAAGTGGTCAGTGCTTCAGAACTGGACTCTGATTTTCTGTATGAAAGCATTCTGCCATGCACTGAACTGAGTATTGCGAGGTGACTAAAAGGATGAGGAACTTTTTTTTTCTGTAGGAAAAAGTCTCTTGATTTATAGTGAGAGGGTTGCTGACAATTTACTCAGAGCAGATTAGACATTGACAATTTTCAATTTTACAATTACACTAAATTTAGAAATGCCCTATTTGTCATCTTATTTCCACAGAACATGAAAAATGAAATGTTCCCCCCACAAGAGGTATTTTTTTTTTTTTTTTACGATTTTAATGAAATCTCCTGGAGAATTTGAAAACAGTCAAACCTAAGCAGTATAGAACTATCAAGCATGGAACAAAAAGTTCCAGGGAGCCATCTAGGTCACATTCACAGACTGTTTTCCCATTTTAAACCTATTGCTCTTCCTAGGACTATCATTTTTTCATCATTTTAAAATAAGCTAAACTGTTCTTAATAGGGCTTGAGTTAGATGTTGTTTCAAGAGAACCGATATGCGCCAATGAGCCAAGATAAGCTATGTTTTCCTAAAAGACTTTAGGAACAGGAAATTAACCTTTGAGAGGTTTTGCCTCTAGAGCCCTAGGCTTCTCGTTTGTGCTTAGAATAACTGTTGCCAAAATGAACCCTAATGGCAATATATTGCTATTATGATGAGTTTAGTTTTTTTTTACTCATGTAAGGCTTAAAAAGATCACATTTGATCACTGAAAGTTTTGCATTTAAAACTCCTCACTGAGGGGTTACGTATCTTTCCATTAATGCACTGTTGCTGTCCATCTCCTTGCCATGACCTCCCATGGCAGCTCCTCCCACTGTTCCTTCCCATCCTATCTGAAACAGCCAGTTTATTTCAGGGTATATCAATAATTTTCACAGAAAAATTATCCCATAAAGAATCTTGATCTCTGGTGATTGGCAGAAGCTGTTGGACAACTAGCAGTGATTAACTAATTGTCGGGGTCAATGGGGCTCAGTGAGAGGAATCAAGGGGCTGCACTAGACTGCACTGCTTAGGTGTAAACTGCGTTCATCCTTCTCAGGTGAGCAGTTCAGAATCACTGTATCAAGATCCTAAACTGTGCTGCAATTTAACTTGATTTAAGAATAGCACCATAGAAGTTGCTATAGAAACAAATATATTTTAATATTAATAGGACAATACGTGAGCGTAATCTACTGGGCTCTAAGAAATTCATGGAAATTCTGGAAGTTCGGGATTGTCACTCTGCTGCACACGACTGGCTTCAAAAGCACAGCACTGGGCTTTATGTATTAGCTTTAATTGTATATGCTCTGTGGGACATAAGCAAATAGCTTTTATTTCTTACAGTAGGGAAAATCAACTTTCACACATGTGAAACTGTTCCAGAATATAAATATGGCAGTGTTAGGTAAAATTGCTATTTTTTTTAAAGAAGAAAATACAGATGGGATATTTATGGTGGATAAGTGACTGTGGGAAATTTGATACATGACAGCAGATTAGTGCTGTTGATGCAAACACTTCCTTCTGCCACTGTTTTGAGCTCAGCATGAAAAATCAAAGGATGTGCATTTGATTAATTACTGTACTAACCAGAAAACTGTAATTCTAACTGATTTCTGAAAAGCCTCTGTGGCAAGGAAAGCTCCAGGTGATGCTGGGCTTGTTCAGATGGTCAGGATGAATAATGATTTGTCATTATTGGCTCTAAAATACTTCAAAATATGTGAACACTACAGCTATCTGTGCAGAACTGGGCTTGTAGTCAGACAGAACTAAACACCAAATTTTATTGCTGTAGAAAGAAACAGGACTGAAAAAAAGGCTTTTAAGGAGTGTTTACTTTGGCTGAACAAATTACTTATATATAAATGTTAGTATTGATTTATTTGCTTCTATTGCCTAATATTTTACCTTGGGAATACAATATGAAACTAATGATTGAAAGTTTCAAAAATAATTTTTTTTTCCCATCTTTAATGTCATTTCTAGATGTGTGTAAGAATTAATTTGCTTTATGTTATTATCTCAAACAAATTTTCACAGAAATGTATTTAGCACACATGAGCTCTGTGCAACATTTTGACAACACAGATGATGTGACGTTGGGGAGAGTTGGCGTTTCTCTCTCCTGCACTCACTTTGAAATGATTTTTCATCAGTGGGTGAGATGGTAAGCTAAACTGGATTGAAACAGATGAAGAGGAAAGTGTCATAAAAGGTTTTTTTTTTTTGAAATAATTTTTCCTCTGCAGCAGCTTTAAATTTTGGTTCACAAAGCTTACGCTAGTAAAAGTTTACAGCTATTTAGGACATAAAAGCTGATTTGTAGTGAATTATTCTAATAGCTTTCTGTAAGACTATCTGGTATCTTGTGAAGTCCTCCTTCTCAACAGGAAAGGAGAGGCACAGTACAACCCAGGCTGTATAAATCTCAATATGCAGTAAACTAGTTATAGGCAAGTGAGAGAAAAAGGAAAGTAGCCAATAGTCGGTACTATAAGCTGTCAATCGGTACTTCATAAAGCCTACATTCTGCTATCACATGTCAGAGAAAAAACTTTCTAAGGCTACTTGAGAGTAGTTTATTGCTTGTTGGATGAGATCTGAGGAATTAAAACGAGCACATTAGTGATTAGGTAGTATAAAAGGCCCATGTCATACCTTCTATTGCTCCCATTACATCTCACAGAAAATAGACCATATCTGAATCAATCAGTAAAACTGATAGCTCGAAAGGAAGTACTTAAATCTATTGTATGAAATATATAAACTTCATTAATAAAAAAAGGGTAGATGGTTACTAGTTCATCTTAGTACAAAGTACGAGTTCTTGAAAAATAGAATAATGTATTTTTCTTTCTCAGTATTATATATTAAATAAATTCTTAGATCAATACACTCTTGCTGATCTATTTGGTAACTGACTGTAGGGCATTGGGATTATTCAGGGAATCAATGTCAAAAGCAACTTTTCTTTAAACTGCTAAAGATGAGGCTTGAATTTGGATGGGAGAAAGATGATAAAGTAAAATGGGAATACCTAATCCATATATAGTGGGTCAGTGGATTAATTCTTTCAGATATGCTTCAGAGATTAAATAAAACCTGCAAAATTAATACTAAAATTTAGAGAAAATATGTGATGTTATTTTAAGAACATCATCAAGTCCTGATGACAAATGCAGGATATCAACTAAATTCACCTGGAATTTGATTAATCTCACAATTCCTAGACCATCAGAGAGTATAATGATCAAACTTTCAGACGTTTATAAAACTACAGGCACAGCTTACTTGATCTTGGTGTTGACTTGGTGGACGAGAGTGTGCTAGCTTCTCTGGTAGCCTTCTGTCGAGGACATGTCCATTCTCCAAACGAGATTCACGGGGCTTGTCAAACCAATCTGTTTCTTCACGACGGAGATGATAGGCTTTGAAAACCAAGGACAGGTCAAATGTTCTGATCCAGTGCTGGTCAAAGGGCAGTAATGTGCATTGTGCATAGCAAACATGCATAGTGGTTATTAATTGGCCATGCAGCTAAAGCAAAGTTACAGGCAAGATTAGAGACATTGAACTCAGGCATAATTTAGCTATAAGTGACAAAGCAGAGTGGGAGGGGTGCATCTATGTGGATATTCCGCTATGGATACTAAGTATTAGGAAAAACTAAGTGCAGAATGCTACAATCACTTCCTTCTGGTATCTCAAAAGCACACGGCAGATGTCACACATTTCTAAAGCGTTAAGGTGAAAAATCAGTCAAGGTAGATACATTTTACTAAGCTAGAAGAAACCCCTAAAAACCGAAACCCCACAACTCCTAGACTTTTTAATTGAATATTTAAAAAAATATTTTGGAGATCTCTGAAACAGTGTTATATGAAAGCTGGGTCTCTGAAACAGTGTTATATGAAAGCTGGGTCTGCTTTATGAAATGATCAAACCAAGCTACATTCTTCATAATTCTAAGCAGAAATATTGCATGTGTTCTCATTTTGAATGCATTCACTAATTTTTGCCTTATTCACTTTGTGCGTGGAAAATTAATCAGAATGGTCTTAATTTTAGAAACTTTATTTGCTTATATTTGAAACATTTTCACAGTGGTACAAAATCTACTGTGAGATGAAACAACCCTGACTGAAGTCAGTTTTGTAAATAGATAAATTTATGCCTATTGTCATCTGACATCATTGCTTTCTATTGGGATCAGAATCAGCTCTTAATTTACACTATACAGCATAGAGATTTTCCTCTATACTGACTCTCAGGGTAAATAGAATACTACTGAAAGTTTAAATTTTAAGTTCTAATAAATAAGGTAAATGTAGAATTAGAAGAAAGACAGTATATTTGTTTTAACAAAAAACACCAAAAAATAGCAAATCTAAAATTGGGTCAATTGTTGGTATAATAACAAGACAGAATGCAATTGTTCCATGACAAAAAGAGAATTTAAAATATAAACTGTAGGACACATAATTTTATCTATTCAGTTTTTAAAGTCAACATGGTCTAACTGATTTTCTAAATGACTGGGAAAAAGCTTTATGGTAAAGGCTGATCTTTCTCATGACCATTTCATGAACTTTCTCTAAAAGTAGGAGTAATATATTTACAAGTTTTTTTAAAAAGGAATATTGTTTATGAGGTAAAGAGTCATCACATATTACATTAAGTCTTTGGTCAAATCTTTATTTTAGTCCTGATGTTATGCAATCTATTACTTCCAATGTGTGCACTAATTTAATATTGCATGAAATGGCTTTAAAAATTATTTAGACCAGCATACAAGAAGTAAAAGAGACTTTATTGAAAGTTGAATCTTGCCTGGCTAGTGTCCAATTGCTAGTATTAAACAGTTACGATTTAACAGGCAAACATTTTATGCTTTAGTCATTTGTGCTGACTGGTCGCCTGCCTGAACCAGATTGTTTCATAACTCATGTCAAGAGAATTTCTTATTGAGGCTTATATTGAGGACCTTAAGCACTCTTCTGATCTTAGGTACTAATGCTAACTATCAAAATCTCTGTCATTAGATGAACAGGAGAAAGAATGTAATTTGGTCACTTTCTGTCTCATCTGAGATTACTTTTGCTAGATTTCTGGCCTAGAGAAGCTAGCTCATATACAGAGGTCCATACCACAGTCCACAGCAGCCTATACTTTTTGTCAAAACTAGGACAAAAGTGTGCACTTTATATGAAATAAAATATGTATGTATGTGTATATAGGGACACACACACCACACATACCTACACACACTCACACACACAGTTGTTTTTGGCTTGATTAGCTGGGACTTGTTTTAGTTGGAACCCTAGGAACAGCCAAGATGAGACACTGGTGGTTGTAGAAGCTAAAGCCCTGTTTCTGTATCTAACAAATGGAGCCATAGGCTGCATTTCCCATCTGCAAAGCCTCCCACTGAAGTGAGTAAGATCCCATGCTATTGGTCGCACACACTTTAAAAAGGTGAGGTTGGACTCCAGGTTGAAGAGCTAAAAAAAACCCCACTAGATAGAGAATTAGGTCACCCTAAGTCCCACAGATGGCCAGTTACATTTGGTTAGCTGTGTTACGGTTAAACATCCTTAGCAGACACTACCATTGCTACCCTGAACCTTGACACTACAAGTCATCCCATTTACAAAGACAATTGGTAAAGAAGATTTCATCATATACTTCAAACTGGGGTGTTCACAGTCAAAAGCCAGTGTGCATCCTAATTATCTTGATATCTTCAAAGCTGGATTTTAAACTTCTAAACTTTACTGCAGAATTAACAAAATAGCATGTAAAAGAGAACACTTTGAGATGACAAAAGGAACAATTTCTGTTCACTGAGATGACCACTCAGGTCAATCCATTTATGCATTACTAACATCCATAAAATTAAGCAGTAGCTTCAGCATCCTTGAAAACTAGTATTTTCAACTTATTTAATAGTTTGTGGAAACTGTGGTAGCTTTGGGATTACTTAGGAGCTACCTTATTATATCAGAGATTTCACTGCACTGAAAACTGAGAAAAGTATCTTGTGTTTCCAAAGTTGAGAACATTTATTATTTTCAATGGAAACCTCTGAGCTAAAATTTGTAATCCTATCATAGGTACTACTTGAGTGCTGAAATATGGTTTTAAGAATCATTACAGTATGTAAATATATTACAGCTCTTTCTGAAATGAACTTAAACAGTTCGGCCTTAGCGTCCTATTTCTATGTGCCTCTGATATTTGTGTGGAAGAGGATTTATAAAAAACAACTAGAACGTCAAAAAAGTTTATTTTTAAGTTTCTAATGAGGAAAGTTGCAGCTTTGATATTCATTATCACAAGTCGTGTTTTTTCTAAGATCACATTTGATTCAGTTATTTTAATGAAATCTTACCAATAGCAATGTAAATTGTAATGCAAATTATAACTATTTATCGCAAATTATTTTTTAAAAAGTGTGTTAAAAGGCTGGATAGGAGAAGAATGATGTAACTTTATTAAGAAATTGAATTATCTTTTTAGAGTATTTTTCCTCTCACACCTAGATAACATCGATTTTTTAAATTTAATTTTCTAATCCATATGAAAGACTAAGCTTATGTAAAAAAAGCAATAATACAAGAGTTGAAGTTAATGTATACCTGAAAAATAAACCACACTACTTTTTAATCATGCAAATATGTCTTTTGAGACAATCATTGCCATTTACAGACAATATATCGCATGCAAAGTCTCTTTTATTGTGCAGTAAATACACATAGGAAAGAGTTAAGGAAGCACATACAATTCAAATATTAATTTCATTTTCTTTCAAACTGACTTTATGATTTTTAAACAATTTAGAACATATTAAAACTGAATTGAGTCTAACAAAGAGGTACATAATTAACATAAGCTTTATCATTCTGCTGTACTTATTAGAAGAAACATTCTTTAACTGCACCATTTATAATACTTCAGAAAGGTTCCTTTCATGAACCTAAGTGAGATAATCTCTTGTGCTTATTTGGCAGAGATATTGGATAGGGTGCACATAAACCAGCTAGGCTCCATAATCCACCAATAGAAGTAGAATGCTTTATGCAAGTTTATTGAAGGATGAGGTTGTCTTGCACCATCCAAACGACAAATTATCTTACATCATCACAATTCTGAATGCACAGAAATCCACATGACAGGATGCTTTTAACAAACCATATGTAGAATGTTATTTTTCTATCACGTTAAATTCTAGATGGTTCTAACATAGAATATGTACTTAATGAATATACTAGTACCATATAAACATAGATCTAAAAAGGTGCATCAGGAGATGGAATTATCGAATTCTATTATGACGTTTCATGCAAATAAAATTACTAGAATTTTTCAGAGGATTTGGGAATTATTTTCCAAATCCCAACAAAAACTGTTGCAATTAAGTGCAATGACTCACGGTCACTGGAGAATGGTCCACACAGATACTGATGGATGGATGGTAGGGCATGTATTATACATGAAATAGTCTATGTAGTATCTTTAGAAAAGTAAACATCAACAAATAAAAAGGAAAGTGCACAAGCAAACCAAAAGGAAAGCAATTCAACAACAATACAGTGAGCATGCTAAAGTAGCTTAACACCATTCAGACAACTCTGTTAAGATAAAGTAAAAAATATCAAATAAAACAAATTCCTACCCCAGCTCCCACCCAAAAAAAAAAAAAAAAAAAGTAGATACACAGATGCACCAAGGAACAGAAAGAAGAACAAGTCTTTGAAGTATAATAAAAATTAGACACATGCATAGAAATGAGGATTTGCGTTGTGATAGTAAGATATCAGTCCGAGGCCTAATTTACCTTCACTGTCTGACATGGCATGCTGGAAGTCATCCATGATGAAGGCAATATCTCGATCATAGCCTCGAGTCCGTGACTCCTCCCTCATATGTTGCTGGACCTCTGGTAAAGAATGGCTTGATCCAAATTGGTCCCTGGTATCTGCAGATATTGGTGGTAAAGGTCCAGCTGCCGCTCTTGCCATTCCCATTGGCTGACCAACAGGACTTAGTGGGCTCTCTTCCTCCGAGTTCTGTGCTACTATTGGGATCCTTCCCCTACTTTGGCTAATAGGTAAACTGGTGGGTTTAGCTCTTCCAGAAGGTGCTGCGTGACTAAAGGAAACATCTAGGGGCTCAGCTTCTTGGGCTTTCAGTCTTAAAGAAGAGCTGGAAGAATCCCTTTTTAATGATAAATCAAGTCCATAAACTGAGGATGGTCTGGATGAGGGTCTAGATCTACTACCACTGCTATAAGACTTGTCAGCTTCATCTTGTAATGTGGATCTCATTGTTGGACCTAGTGCAGTCCCAAGGCTCGCTCCAATAGATGAAGCCAGTGTTGGCCCCATGTATTTCTGTTGGTCAGTGATATTTTTTCTAAGGCCAAAAGTGATATCATCCTGAAGAAGCCTTGCCCTAGTAGTAATTCCACCAAGTGATGAAGTACTAGATGTCATATAGCTTGAATAATCAGGCTCTAGGTCTCTGCTTTCTTGGATAGGTGAAAACTTACTTAGTTTGGGGTCTATCAAAGCCTTCTTGTGCTTTGACTGCTTCTGGTAAAGGAGGGCTGCTGGTAGCTGCTTAGCAGCTTGCTTCTCAAGGGTAAGTCTACCTATGCTGTATTTCTCAGATTTGGGGAAATGCCTATAGCTGCTATCTGCATGATAATACTGTGACAGGCCAGCAAGGTGATCAAGACTTTCTGCACCTCTACGGAACTCTTGCTTTATCTGATGTTTGAGAAGTTTGAGTTCATAAGGGTCTTCCATTGGGTCTTCATCAGTTTTAACATAGGAATGTAACCGAGAAGAAGTCTGTAGTGGTGCTAGGAAGTCTGACACTTCTTGTGCTCTCCTGGCCTCTGTTGTGCGAAGTAATCGATCTGTTTTGGTCAAATCTTTTTCATGGAGGCTAAAAGTCGAACCAAGTGTTCCTGTTCCTTTAGTAAGTTCGCCTATATCGTCAATCAATACATAATTCCGTGGTGTATGGTGGTGGTCTATGTCTGCATAGAAAGAATCTGCAGATATGCTTGATATTGGACTGCTTGCCATGCTGCTTCTCTCATCTAATCCTATCCTTAGGTCCAAAGTACTGTATTTACTGCCCAGTTGGGAAACTGCATAACTATTGTCAGTTGAAACTGGAGTTATCATGAGAGGCTGATTTCGAATCACATCATAATTTGTGGTTATCTTAGGCTCCAAATATAATGTTGTTTGTCTTGGCTTTGGTTGTATCACCATCATCTGTGATGGGAGCTGATATGAAGGCTGTTGAGTTGGAGGAGGTTGAGCCTGTGGAGTATATGTCATAGTAGCTCCTGTTTGGAAAGCTGTCTGAGTTTGATAAGGTGAAACCTGCTGGTGATATAAAGGCTGCTGTTGTTGGTAATGTGATTGTTGTGTAAACTGAGTTGGTGCTTGAGTAGGTAGGGCGGGAGATGAATACTGATACTGAGTATATGGACTTGTAGCAGGGGCAAACTGAGTTTCTGGCTGGGTTTGTGGTGGCATAAATTGATTAAATTCTGTTTGGGGTGCAGTACGTGGTCTTTCCAAGCCATGCTGAGTTTCTATTCTGGTTGACCTGGTATTATTAACTTCACTGTCTGACATATAATCACGTTCTTCTGCTACTCCTTGGAGATAGGCACGCTCTCTCTTTTCTCTTTCCTTTAACAGGGCTTCTTTTCTCCTGTTGATGCCCATTTCCAAATATCTCAGTTTGGCATCTATTTCCTTTTCCTCCTCATCTAGCTCTGCTTGCTTCTTCCTAAGCTTGGCTGATTCCCGTTCAACCAAGTCCAGTTCCCTGTCTATATCCTGAAGAATTTTGGCTCTGGCCATAGTATTGGTCCGGCAAATCCTTCTGCGTGAAACTGACCCCGCAGAGGAATAGGGTGACTGGGTTCCTGCTGTTGCTTCCTCTGGAGGTGGGTTGGGCAGAGTCCTCTTCACCTTCTTCTGAGTGCCTGACGGAGTTACGCTTGAAGAACTTTTTGTCTGAAATAAATAAAAGAAGCAAGACTGAATCACTATTCTGGAGGCTTGATCTCTAATAAATCACAAGCTGTTTACAAATTTCTCATAGTTTGGCTTTATGTCTTAACCACATACTTTCTCTGATTCAGAGGAGGCTTGTGGTATCTGTGAATAAGCAGCAGCAAATGGCATGAAGGAAAAATGCTGTAGACTCTTAAAGGTCAGGAAGATAAACTACCTGATCCAAATTAGGAAAGATACTGACTATGACTTTGTTTAGACTAATATTTAAAAAATTACCTTAAATACTTGAAATTGAAATGAGATTGTAATTTAAAAGTTTATTTTATCTCATATAATCATACACAAACATACTGTGTGTGGGTTGGCGAGAATGACACAATTTATTTCTATTTAACATTTAAGAGAAATAATATATAAATTATTATATGCAAATAAATATTAATATGTATACAGTATATACAGCATAATTGAAGTCTCCGTGCTAGATATGGAGCACATACCTAGCGTCTATAACTTGCTCTGAAAACCAGTCAACTTTCTGCTTGTCATCATATTTAGTACAACACACAGTCCTCAGTCTCCTTTCTACTTTTGGCTTACTTATGCTGGCACAGATATTTTTTTCCAGGAAGATTTTTGTGCTTTATGAAAACAGTGGTCTAAGTGTGAGCTTTCTTGCATACTCTAAATTACAAGCATTTTTGAAAGATGCATATTAGCTTTGAAGTAAACTTAAGTTTCTACACAATATAGGTATATGTTAAGAAGTGAGACTTGGATGACTTTGAATTTTTATCTTATATTCTCAAAAAATTCTGATGGATTTTCCTCCAGTAATGGATAAAAGGCTTTTCCATTCACATATTCTAGAAATAATTACCTCAGACATTACAGATTGCAGCCATCTGTAGTGACATATAGAAGCACTTTTGCACCACTTACTTAATAAGGGAGTAAAAAGAATGCTGACTTTATCTTCTGCCTCTGCAGGCACAATATAAGCATCACACTTTAGCAAGCACTAACTTCTACATAGATTTTTTCCCTAAAAAAATCCACTACTTCAATCAGATTATAAATCATGTAAATCAACAAAATTAATCCTAATTAGGGAAAAAACAAACAAACAAACTGTACTTTCCTACTTTCTCGGCCTTATACTAATATTCTGTCAACAAATTATAAAACTTTTTAAGATGTCAACCTTCTTTTGCTGCTCCTGTTATCTAACCTTAGCAAATCATAATAATCAGCAGGTTATTTGTTATGAATCTTTAAATAAACATTTATATCCTTTCAAATGTCATTTAAGCTTATTCATCCTATTCATCTAAATTCTATCAATTTTTGCATGTTTCAGATTTCAATAAAAGTAATTTAATTTTGTTTTCAGCTTCCTGTGGCTATTTCCCAAACCTATGTTGTGCCAACAAATCAAAGAAACTAATTTTCTCTTGCTCAGTGTGTAGTTATAATCAAAGGCAAATTAATCATCTGGCTGCCTATTGATTTACATTGTATATTCAATCCAATTACCACAGTTATACCTCCCTCTCAAACTGAAATAGCAATCACAGATGGTGAAACAGTCACAGATTGGCACTGGTATTGGGGAACAGCTACTAGCACTCACTGAAAGGTATATGATACTTTAAAGAATGATTATATTGGGATATCAGAGCTGTTGCTTATGAACAAATCCCAGTGTCAATTTATAGGGCATTTTATTTTTTTAAAAAAGTATCTTGTCTCCAACTACATATAAAAAAGCTCAGACTGATAAGATACTGCAGGGATACCCTTGCTTTTGAAAAAACATCGATTGCCTCTAGTTCTCAGTTACTATTCTCACAAGAGGACAGATGACATAGGATGGCCTTAATTATTTTAGTTGATATTTTATATTAAGATTTGAAAAAAAAAATATGAAAATTATTATATTTTAGTACTTCAATAAATTGTGCTGTGTTTTCTTCTTCCTGGATATGCTCCTCATCAATTATATTACCATGCTACCTGGGAACAGAATGGGTAGATTTAAGGGAAGTTCAACTGCAATATTTTGGCAGATCATATCAGAAGAGCAGTTAAATTTAATTTGTATATTTTGTTTAATTTGGTTAACTATCAAGGTAAGAAGATGAGTTAAGGCCCATCTTCACCAAATTCTATTATTTTTATCAAAGAACTATATGTAAAAAGGACTAATTGGGATGTCTAGCCACCTCATTTTAAGTATTTGCTGCCTTTCCAGTACACATTAGACTTGACTTGCACTATCTCCTGACTTTTAATTTTCACAAGCATTTGTATAAAAGCTTCTCAACATTTTAAAATTTTGTGATGGCTTTAGAATAATTCCTTTGAGATGACTATCCTATTCTTTTTGAGTCTTTATATCAAGATACTTTTTTCTAACAATTTTTGTCTCCTCTGATTTGATGGCTTTGTTGATGAGGCTACTAGAGGTCTGACCCATTACAAAAACCAGTCAAGCACTAGGAAATGCTCATATGTTCCATCGCATCTTATTTGTTTTTTTAAAAGATTTTTTCTACTGCAGACTGAATGACTCAGAGGATCTATAATGACTTTCCACCTTTAAAGAGTTTGCATGACTCTTGTTGCCTGGTCTTTTTTTTTTTAATGAAACTTTTTTCATATTTTTCCACCTCAACTGAATTTGTTCGAATAAAATGTGGTGCTATTCTTGTATCCTCCTTTCTCTGTATTCATCCAGCTATTCTTGGTTATTACACACATTTACTCAAATAAGTCAATTATCATTCTTGGATTTATAACTCCTGGATGCATGCTGAATATGTTGTATTTTAATAGTAAATATATAACTCTCATTATTCCCTGCTCTTACAGTATTCCATAATTTAGGATTTTCTGTGATCTGAGGCTTCACACAAGCAAACATAATTTTTTTCCTCTGTCATGTTTAGAACTGTCTAAATAGCATTCTTTTAGCACTGCACCTAAAATTCATGTATAATTTTTAATATATAAAAAAAATGAAATAATGGGTATGGTAGTGTGTGTGGACAAATCAAGTACATCTGTATTTGCAGCACATTTATTAGAGCTTGCCACCACTAGATTGACTCGGATGCATAAATAGCCATGTTAGATTACCTAGCCATGTTAGATTACCTATGTGGTAAGTATTACAAAGATAAACTCCATTATAATATCCTAGATACTATGAAAAAAACAAGATAAAGTTCGTAGCTGAAAGCACTCTGCCACAATCCTCTACAGACATCCTCTACAAAGCCTGCTGAACACTGTACAGAAATGAAATCTCTGGTTTTCCTAAGACTAAACTTGCACTAGACTTGAAATGCCAGCAGAAAGTTGGTAGTACCCTAAATATCAGAAAAACAATCCAAATAAAAGTTTTTGTCTTCAAATAAGGACTATATAGTCAAAAACTTGTTCAGCAGACTCGACATTAGCAGCAGTCAAAAAGATGCATGTTGATGTCCCAAAACACATTACATCTGGGATTTTTCATGCATAGAAAAATAACAAACCAAACCAACAAAACAAACAAAAAAACAAAGGCCATATTCATTCTCCCCCAGCGAGCTCCCACCACAGATTGCAATGGTAATGCACAACTGTATAAAGGTTAGCAAGTACTAATAGCAAGCAATAGCAAGTACTATAACACCAAGCAACACATAACAACCTTTATGTGTCACTTGGTGTTACAGTACTTGCTATTCATAGCTAGAAATATATCAATATGTACAAGTAAAAATTTCTGTAATTTGTTATTTTAATAATCCAGTTGCCTTAAAAACAACTGGTGACCAATTATCATTAACGAAAAATCTTTTAGTAATTTGCTATTATCTTTTAAAGTACTAGTAGATAAACCCTAATTTCAACAGACACACTAAGATAGTACACTAATGTTAGATTGCTGTATTATTAACATGGAATCCTCAATTTCATCTTGTAGGATGCAAACAATGACACAGGACAATGTTTTGTAGCTTGTCTGTGCAAAGAAGTATTCTTGTGACTGTTCTTGTGGACCCTCCTGGAATAACATTTATTATTAAGGAGCCACCAACCACAAAGGATCAGCCTTGTTGACTTTTTCTAACAAACATTAGAGCAAAAATAGAGATCTATCTATCTCACTCAACTGGCTAAGGCAAATACAGGATCATTGTTATTGCATGAAGAGTCACAGAGTTTGGAAACATGGATAAAAGGAGGCAGATAAATTCTTCATTTTAAGAAAAATATGTATTTATAATCTCATAAGCAGTGCTGAGAACAAAGTGCTGTGAAAAAGTTCTAACCATCAGTAAAAACATATCAGGTAGTCTGCACTGTCTTCTCTTACGTGCCCTTGCTGGCAGTGGGAGTATCCAACACATGAATTAGATGAGCTGCATTTGGTCTTGCATATGGAAGGAAAACACCCTGCTTCATGACTAATATGTCAGAGGTTTTCTTTAATGCAACTCTTGCCTTCCACTTTTCTGCAAGTATTTTGCCTTGGGGATTGAGCATTCAGGCAGAAAACTAGTTTCTATATCACTAGGCAGCAGCACTAAGATGCCAGTCAGTCTGATTTTATCATGTGTTTTCACTCCTTTGGAGGTTCTGTGGAGATGAATTTCTCTTCTGTTAAAACCAATACACAGTTTTTAGAAAAAGTCTATTTCCAAAACAATAAACATTTTTCAGATTTTTTTTTTTGCTTTCATTTGTGTCAATCAGAGAGTCTCTCTCTCTCCAGATGAACACTTCTGTACTTTCCCTCCTCTTGCTCTTTTCATTTCCTCTGTGAAATTGTTTGAAATTGCCATTTTCACTTCAAATGCGAGGGGAGCAGCACAGTGCACTTTCTAATAGCTGATGTGACAGGACATATCAAATTCTTTCCTCAGTTAAACACATAAAAGCCCATATGCTCCTTCTGATTTAAGGGGGAGAAAGGAGACATTCAATGAAGATTTCATATGCAA